ATATTTCTTTAAATTCTTTTGGTGGATTTTTACAATTTATTGTTATAACATCAAAACTAAAATCATTATCAGCTTCACGTTTTATTAATAATTTAAGAAAGACATCTTGACAAAATGGACATGCACCTTTTGATCGACCATCAGAACCAGCTTTAAATTAGAAAATATCACATGATTTTTGTTTTGTTTTTCTGAGGTTTTTTTTTTTTTTTTTTATTTATTTTTTACCTTTAATAAATAAATGAAGTTTTTGATCATCATCATCATTTAATAGAGTACGCTACAAGAAGATAAAAATTTAAATTTAATAGTTGTCCGAGATAGAATTACTCACAGGATCAAAATGTTCATCTTCAACTTCATCGACCATCTTTTTTTTTTTTCTATTTTAGTATATACTTATTTATCTTACTAATGTATATGTTATTTTTCTTTTTATTTGATATGCGTACGAATGTGTGAATGTGTTAGGATACAGGTAGAAAAATTAAAGTCACATGGTGATAAAAAAAGCCCGATGATGTCGACAAACGACTGTCTTTCTTTTTTTTTTCTCTGTCTTTTGTTCGATACTAAAAGACACTCATGATTGGCGTGTTTATGCTCGTTTATCTTGCGCGCAGTTCGAGAAAAAAAAAGGAAAAAAGTAGGTGACATGTGAAGTCTTTTTTTTTTCTTCATGTTTTGTTTTGTTTTTTTTTTATATTTGTCTATCTAACTAACTAGATGAGTTTTCAATGAAGAGAAGAAAGAAAGAATATGTCTGTTCAACTTCAAACATGTGAATCGATTTACCTTTCAGAATGAAAGATTATGATCAAAAGAATGTGTTGATCCAAAATGAGGACAACGACATTATTTTATATTTCAATACAGATGTATACATTTAGTTAGTATCTACTCACGGATGACGATGCTTGACTATGCATTATGAGTAATGTGATCAGCAATAAGACAAATTTGAATGTGTATGATGTGAGAAAAGATTAATCGTAAGGCAAGCTCGTGGAAAAAAAAACGGAACAAGAATACTATGTAGGTGTGTAGGAACGACACAGAGGGAGAGAAAAAAAAAGGAAAAGAAAAACCCTGCAAGACCCAAGCTACTGATGTCATTACATATATAAAAATAGACCTATTTTTCTTATGAATCGAAAAAAATACAAAATAAAACATGATTATGCATTTGATTATAGATATAAAACGACATATGATTACAATATATAGTCAATATTTTGATGAAAAAATACAAAATGAATATAAAATATAAATATACATACTGGTAAAGGACGATATTGATTTGAATGAATAATTGGTCTTGGTAGTAGAATAACTTGCATGTTGTGTGTGTGTGTGTGTGTTTTTTTTGTCTTTTATTGACCAGTACAATTATAAAGTGAGAGCTTTTCGTTTTACTTTTCTATGTCTATCTATACGTATACAAAGTGCGTTAGTAAACGTATACAAAATTAGATCTACATATACATATGAACGAATGCGTCGCGTCCATTGAACATAATGTCCTCGTTCTGTTCCTTTTTTTTTTGTAGCTATGCTATTTACACACGACTTCTCTCGTTTTTTTTTTCTCTCTCTCTCTCTTATTGGAAGTGATTAGAACTCTCATTCTATCTCTTTTTTTTTGCCCTCTGGCGATCATTTATTTGTAGGTGCTTCTTTTTTTTCTCGTTCTGACCATCACTTATCTTATTGATGATATGTGTACTATGATAATGATCGTATGAAGAGTTTATGTTCAATAGTTTTTCTTTTTTTTTTTTTGAAAAGAAATACCTACAATAACAAATACTCAATTTCATAGTACGAAAGGATTTAATTTAGCCTTTATAGACTATCTTACTATATATGAATTTATTCACCTTCATAATTAAATACCATAACAAGAACACATCATGTAAAAGTTTGATTGAATATACCTTGTATATATGTTTTGTATACATTTGAATAACAAATGAACAAAAGAACAAACGAATTTATCTGACCACTTGTGCGCATGTTCATGTACAAGGATCGATAATTCAATGTGTTGGTTTTATCGCTTAATTATTGAGTAAAATCTACAATCTATTCATTCGAACAACTTGTCATTGTTATTTATTCAAAACAAAAAAAAAGAAGAAAATTTTTATCTTTATCGATTTATAGATGACAAAAATAAAATAAAAAACTTATGTTAATATGATAATGAAAATGTTATTCTTTTTGTTCTTTTGAAGAAACATTAAACAGCTACGTTTTGATGAAGAAAATTTTGCAATGACAATATTCTTTGTTATTGAATGTAAAACAAACGATTGATTTAGTTTGAATAGAATATAAGTACTTTGAGATTTTTTTCTATATTTATGAATATTAGATAAATTATTGAATTGAACGGATATATAAACTTGAGTACTACCATTGTTTACTGTTGTTCTTGTCCTGCGAACTTTTGTTTTTTTTTTTTTAGAGAATAATCTATTTTTAATCCTTCGATGGATTGTTTGATAGTAAGTTGGTTTCTAGTAAATTCTTCATGATGAATAGAATGATTTACAAATCAATAAAAATTCATGTGTTTCAAGGAAAACTATAATTTAGTAATTTGAATCAGAAATATAAGGATATTGCGTTGTGATTGATATTAGTTTTAAATTCATTCTTGCTTCACATTGTGTCATGTACAATTCTTGTGAATATCTTTTTAGGACTCGTCATATTAATTATCTTCAATTTGGAACACATTGTGAAAGTAATACAATTTACTTAAAGAATAGATAAGAAATGAATTATAGTATTTGAACTAGAATATAGTGACGTCGATGAAAAAAAAAACCAACAAATTTCTTCATAAATGTTCACATTTACTATACAATGTTTTTTTTTTGTTACTCAGATATCAACATATCACAATACATATGATACCGTCATCACATGCAAATATTGGTAAAATTTCAAGGTCATTTATAGTTATAATACAAAAACCATCTGATAACCGAACATGAAGAAAGTTATAGTAATAATAAGTTTTTGTTTGAATAAGATAAAAATAAAATTTTATCAGAATTATTTATTATATTCTATTTGCAAACTTAGAAGACTACATTCTGAAGGACTCAATTTTGAACGATATAGGTGGCGTTATTTGAACTCTTCGAAGAGATTCTAATGCCTTGAAGTTTGCTGTTTTCCGTTTGAGAAGTTTACATTTACTGTTTATCATATTCATTTATAATATTAAACTGACTTTAATGTTGATATTTGTATAGGAGGGGATGATAGTCAAACATGTATATCATAACAAAGAAAAAGACATCATGCTATAAATTCAAATATCGTTATTAGACTTCTAATAATAATAATTGTTAATTTTATATGTGATTATTTATTTATTCACTCGAAAACTGTATACATATTCCTAAATTCTGATGATAAATGATTCATCTTACAATTTCTAGTTGTAATTTTATATGTTAAAATTTTTATGTTTTGTTAATAGGTCCTTGAAAAATTCGAAAGATTAAAATAAAGACTGACATTGAAGATTTCCTTTTTTTTTTTTAATTTATGAAAAAACTAAAAATAAGTAATTCTATGATTTTAAATATATAAATGTTCTCTTTAATAAATTCTAAATTAATTATAATCATCTATCATCATCTATTATTCGACATTTATTCTACGTGTTTTTATTTTCTTTTCTGTATGAGTTAATATGCGTTTATTAATTTTTGAACAAAAAAAAAAACGGCTTTGTCTGCAGGAAAAAATTCTACAATAAAAAAGAATAATATTGAAAGTTATTTTGAATTTAAATGTTCATATTGAAGCAAAATCTCAACGAATATTTGATGAAATTAATATAAAAGAATGAAAGTCCTTATTTTCGATCATACTCATATCACTAATGAATCGTACTATTGTCGTTTTCAAATGTTACACATTTAAAATATAGGTCAAGGAGTTTTATATTGAAAATTCATCACGTATTCTATTAGCACAATGCCATGATCCGTCTCGACAGAAATATCGAAAACAAAAACTAATTTCTGATATTTCAACTTGAAATTTTGAATAGAGATAAATATTAAACAGGATAGTTTGTAATGAAAATTTTAAATCTTTTGATTTGTTCAAATCCTGAAATAAGAACTTAGCATTTACCAATGTATATAACACGATGTAAAAGACACACTTTTATCTTATCTGCATCTTCAGATAGCAACAACGGATCGATTTTTCCAATATTCTTGTCGGATATCCATAATTCATTATGGTTTACATAATGTATATTATTCCAACTCGAAAACGATTAATCAGTTCGAAAGGTTCCTTCATGAGTGTATTATTCATGATTCAATGTACGAAAGATACTGTTGGAACGGCTATTATGTGATTTAATCAATAGTATTAATAGAGATAAGAAAAAAACTTTTCGTTACACGACTCAAAATAGAAAAAAATCTAGTCTTAGACTTTTCAGATGTACAGTAGTTTCGATCAAAAAGTGATCGGGCACTTAAGAATGTTCTTTCATCAGATGGCCTAGCTATATCTGGCATGACTTCAATTATCGGAGGAACTTAGCCCTGCCTACTTTTAGCTTCATCACTAATTTAAACGAACATAAAAATTCCGAACATGTTTAAATCAATTTTATATTTCTGTTAATCATTGAAAACATTTGTTTTTTTCTATCAAAGTACAAACATGTGAGAAAAAAAAGTATCTGAACAGCAAGTTTCATAATCAGAAAGTAAACATACTTCATTCTATACATCAATAAATTGTGTTTTCATCGATCAAACCTTTTTATGTTACTGCATTAGAATTGTATTGTTTTTCTTTATTGTCGACAATTACATGATATAATGATTGCAGTTGTTTTGTATGAAATGTATCACAGCAACAATAATACACACATGACAAAATGATTTAGATGTTAATAATCATTTCAAAGCTTACTACATTGAAAATTTCTTATTAACATATTATTACAAATGGCGTAAGTAAATTTTCTTTGTCTTTTTATTTGAAATTCGATCGTACATATTTTGTATGTTTTTGTGTAGTTTGATAAGAACACAACCGCTTGGAAATTATTGGGCATTTGAAAATAGTTGGGATGCAGAGTTATGTCATTGTCGTGATGAATTAGGAACATGTATGGAGAAAAAAAAACACAGCACAACGAAATTATTGATAATTTTTTTTTTTTTAATTAATTTAGGTTGCTTCGCATATTGGTGTTGTCCTTGTTTTCTATGTCAATTACATACACGTACAAGTACATGTTTATGTACATGGTGTTTGCCTGGAGGTATATTCAATTAATCATAAAATAATAATTTTATTGATTATTATTTTTTTTTCTTCATAGGTACTACTGGATTTAGAACTAAAATTCGAACAGGTTTTCGAATTCAGGTATATATTTTTAAATTAATCTTTTAGAGTTAAAATAAGTTATCTTTCTTCCTTATTTTCCTAGGGCACAATATGTGGTGATGCATGTGTTATGTGTTTGTGTCCATGTTGCGCTGTTCTACAAATCTATAATGAATTAGAATATCAAGGACTTTAATTTATCTATGAATATTTTGAAGGTTTGTTTTTTAAAAAGAAACACACAGAAGAAAAACAAGTATTTTGTATGTAAATTAGTTTGTGTAAAGGTGAATTTTGTTATTTAATTGAATATTGAAATTTAATAATATCTGTATTATTATTGATATATTAAATCATTTTTTTGTTTTGTTTTGATTTTAAATGTGATATTTAAATAAATATAATATAGATATGTCAATCAATCATAATTACTAACAAGATGTTTTTTGTTACATAATAAAAAAGAATAACTTCGAAAACATTTAATAAAATTTGTATGCTTAATATTGTTGGCTTAACCAAGCAGAAAATCAGTAGCTACTGGTTATTTTGCGATTCGAATGATTGACTATTGAAATGAAATTAATAGGTGTTTTTGCCACGAACAAGAAAGCTCCCTTAGTTAATAAATCGCTTTTGATTTGGAACTATGTGTATCATGTATAGAGAAATCAGTTTTGAATATCTGAAAAAGAGTTCGCGTTCTTAGTTTATTTTCGAATAGGTACTCTAAATGTCCCATGAGTGAAACGGATTTTCGAATTTTTCACTTGCAACTTTTTACAAAGATAAACTTTAACGAGAGTAATTTATTGTGAAAGTTTCAAGTCTTTTGATTTTGTAACAGAAGACTCGTAGTGGTCCTTGGCGATGATATAAGAAAATACAAGACTGAATAGACAACATTTGTATAGGATTTTTTAGGAAATATAGGACAAAGTATTTCAGAAAAAAAAATAGTTTTTCACAGATTTCGGAAGTAACCTACAATGATGCGCAAATCGAGTAGAATTTGCGGCTCATATTATAAGACAAATTACAAATGAATTCAAATAGAAATTAGTTAAAAGAGTAAAAGATTTTTACCAGAATCTGAAAACTAAATAATGGCTTCTGCTCGATTGATTCACAGAACCCTATTACTACCTAAATGAAAACAGCTATAGAACAAATGCAAAATAGTTCCTTATTTTTTTTTTGACTCACTTTATGTATTTTTCATAATTGTTCTGTGAAGCATGTGAAAGCTTCATAATCAACATAAATTATATAGAAGGATACCTGGTTAATCAGTACAGGCTTTTGTGTTAACTGTAATTTTCTGTCTATTATGCTCCTATTTGAAAAGCTACATCTAATTTTCGTATAAATTTAAACTCAGAATATGGATTCCGTTGTGATGAACACTTTCAACTCTTAGATGTTGTATCTTTCAATCAAAACTTGCTTACCACATGGGAATGTCTCAATTATAGTTTTAAATAATCTGATCAAAGTCATTTAGTAGAATTACCGTTTGTCTTATTATCAATATTGCAAATAAGATGATTGAAAATAATAAAGTTATAAATCGTCGATTTATTAAGCACTATTTATATGTTTTGTCTTTTTATCACTGACAACTTTTTCTTCATGAAAATTATAGCCCCTTGATCACTGAATCATCTGTACTATTGTGTAGCATTCGTTATGCTCTCACTGCTCTAGTCTAAAAGATGAACAGTCTAATACACTGACGTCTGTCTTATTCATTCTTTTCGGTTCTATCCTGAGGAAGAGCTAAACTTGTCAAATCGCACTTCAGAGTGCAGCAGTCGTAGTGTTTTTTCTTTGGACCATTAGCTATGACTCGAATAACGTTTTCATAAACGACTTCGAAAGAATAAATGAGCTGTAGGAATAGGGTGTGCGTGGCGTGGGTGTGGGTGGGTGTGGGTCTGTGGGTGGATGTGGGTGTGGGGTGTGGGTGTGGGGTGTGGGTGAGTGTGGGTGTGGGTGTGAGTGTGGGGTGGGGGTGGGGATGGTGGTGGGGGTGGGTAGAGAATGAACACACACACACCCTTTCTAGCTATATGTGCATGCGATGCCATCTACAGTGCAGCCTATGTTATCAGAATCGATATTAATAGACCTCATATTGTGAACGAGACAACATGATTTTCATTGAAAAGGAGTATGAGAATTCTCTAGTAAGTTATTAAGACGATGTGCTAAAGCCTTATTGCATCTAGCATTCTTAAAAATGACTACTCCTGATAATCTATAATTTTAAATGTAGCCTACTAGTGTTGTATGAAATATGTAAGCACACAGCTATACGCCGGAAAACTTCAGAACGTCTGTGTCCGTCTTACGAATTCGCGAAGATGTAATTAGTTTGAAGTAGAAATAAATGACGATATAATTGAAGTAAACATTCTATAATGCAAACTATCTCTTCTTATCGACTTAAGAATGATTTGACGATGTTCTTTTTACTGTTCATGTAACCGTTTTTAGACTTTTACGCGTCTCGGAGCGTTTATTAGCAATTCACTTGACGCGTTTGAACGCGTTTAAAAAACCATATATATCTAAACTCGTCCATGTTGAAGATATATTATGATTCGTTTTCTGGTAATCGTGTATGGGCGTTTTAACTTTATTTCCTAAAAATTTATAAAATTCCGATCACTGTATGTCGCTGTAGAGCTGGATTCTAGCATTCATGTTTCATTGCTATCATGAAGCTTTAACGAAGTTGTGCTTGCTGTAATGAATTAACTAAGTTACATGAGTATCTCTGTCATATTCACTGTTTACTTACACATTACTTATTAAAAATACTGAACTATTGACAAAACTGTATGCTTTATTCTATCGCATTTCCAAAACGGTTTAATAATGCGAAAACGATCTACTGCGATCTTAACGCTTTTATTGTTAAGTTCATCATCTATTTCCTATATCAAAAAATGATTCCTATAAATGTTATTTTTATTTTCAACTATTTGATTTTATGTAAACTACAGCAAATTAATTTTTCCAATGGGAATGTTAGTTTATCTTTATTCTCCTTCATACTGAAGAATGGGTCTATTCCATTGGCGCATAAGTTCTGAGAGTTTGAATCAGTAGAATAATATCGCCAATATAAAACTAAATTTTAAGGAAAGTAATTATATATTCTGATAGCGCTCTGAATTCTCTATCACCTTGTGTATTTAAGTCTTGACTTCCATTTATTTGCTGAAAAATAGTTTGAGTACAGTGAAGACACCTTCGCCGTCAGATTCTCACAAACTTCATTTTTTTTTTCTTTTCTCATGTGTTTTTAAAATTTTTATCTATATAGTAATCCTTTTTTAGAAAAGTAATTATATATTCTGAGAGCTCTTGAAATGCTCTATCGTCCTGTGTATTCAGTTCTTGACTTGAACTTATTTGCTGAGAAATATTTCGAACATTGTCAATGCGCGTGAGGGGGTCTTCATTGTATTCAAAATACTTTTCAGTAAATAAATGGAAGTCAAGACTTAAATACACAGGGTGATAGAGAATTCCGAGCGCTATCAGAATATATAATTACTTTCCTTAAAATTTAGTTTTATATTGGCGATATTATTCTACTGATTCAAACTCTCAGACTTATGCGCCAATGGAATAGATGAAACTTTTACATTTTATGAGATTAAAATAAATAACAAAAAGAAAATCTTTATTATTTCACAAATAAGGATAAGTATTTTTTTAGTTATAAAAAATATAAATGAATACTTTATTTGTAAAAAAATCACGGAAATCAAATACTAATTTTTTCTATAAAGACCTAATCTTCTTTTTTCTCTAAATTTCTACAAAAATTGTAATGCCATAGTTATAATTATGTAGATACAGATAAGATTTTTTTCCATATGTGTTCATGCAGCGTTCTCAGCTTTCAATAACATTGCATATTGTGTGATTAACGAAAAAAAAATTATTTATTTTGTTACGCAACGAATTTTTCGTTTACTCATCAAAGAGAGATCTTTATTTATTCTTTAAATTTTCTTCATCTTGTAGATAATGAAATTTTTATTTTTTTATTTTTTGTTTATAACTATAAAAAATATATGTTTTTTTATTTTATGAATATATCTTATTGATATTCATTTACGAAGTGAAAATAAATCAACATCACTATTGTTAGAACTATTAGAAGAAATTAAAAAGTTAGTCATTCGGGTGTGGGTGTGAGTGTTTATATAAGATAGACATACCCACACCCACACCCACTCCAGCGGATACTAATGCCCTCTATAAATTCCAGTAACACTTCTTAAAAAAAATTAACTATCACTCGAATTATTATAAATAATTTATTTTCTATATGAATTCGTCATTGACCCAAACTTTGAAAGTTAACTATCGCATATATTTTATTTACTGACAAGTGATAAAATTGTTGATTTTAGTCACCAGACAATTTTAGCGGCTGATAACTCTTCTCTAGTGGCTGCATTATCATGAAACTCCTACCAACTTGTTTTGCTTTAGACGACTGAAGTCGAGAAAGAGAAAGAGAGAAAGAAGGCAAATATATATGTCAGTCGAAATATAAAACATGGAGAAAGATAACCAATGTCAATATTTTCATTGTGCACAGTATCAGTGAAAACTAAATAAAAATGGCAAAAAACCTAATGGAGAAAAATTGAAAACTTCATACTGCACTGTATTTCATCACATTGCGGCGTATGTCTAACATATTCCTTAAAATGTTTTAGCTATTTCAAGTCAAAATGGATCCAGCGCACTACGATAAAATTTATAGCATGTGTCATACATTGCCAAACAACGTATGGCACATTAAAGTGTGATACGATGTGCTAGTTGCGACGCTTTATGTTCAGCAAGAGCACAACATATTCTTTTACGAAACATGCGACACATTCTGGACGTGTAATTAAAATCTGGCATTTAGTGTATCTTTCAGTTTTTTTCTGTAGCAGCAAATAATGACATTGTTTCAATTTAACCCGAATTAGTGATACTTATTCATAAAAGTCAAGGCAGTCAAATATGATATCTGGCCGTCGGGAGTTCGTCTGATCGTGGTCTCATTGCTTCAAAATATTTTTCTCGGTCATCGATCAATCTCTATATCAAAAAATAACTAATCGAGAAATAATATAGAAAAAAAAACATACGATAATGCATGAGTATAGAATTTTT